GGGCGCACTCCTCGGGGTCCACGCAGGCCACGGCATCTGTGGGACAGAGACAGGTGACGTGCTGGAACCCCTCGCGGGGCGGGGACCAGCCCAGCAGCCCCCCCTCCCCCTGCATCCCCTCCACTGGGGCAGATATTGGCCCTTCGCTGTGGCCACAATGCCCAGTCCCTGGCAGGGGACCGGGGGGAGAAGCAGGGAGCACATCCTGCACGGAGATCCACCCCTGCCTCCCCCCAGCCTCGTTCCCCCCATCACCCCCAACTTAGGCAGGATGTGACCCAGCAGCACCACCCTCCCCTCCCGCTGCCTCCCACTCAGCCCAGCTCTGGTCGGATCTAGCCCCATCGAGCCCTCCCCACGTTAAAGCCAGTGACAGCCACTTTGGGGGCACCTCCGTAGCCGAGGTGACCCCCACTGGGACCCGGAGGTGGCAGAGCCCCCGGGCAGGCACTGCCCATCCCCACGCACGGGGCCACGTGGGTTCATGCACCGTTGCAGCAATTTGCCTCCGCACGGGCATCACCCGGCGACTCCCCGGGACACGCGTGGCAGGTCGCCAGGACTGTCAACACCCCATTAATTCTATGTCTCAACAAGCACTGAACCCCTTTTTTTTTTTTTGTCACCCTCATAAAATATTGGAATGGAGGGAAATTAATGTCAGGTGTAAATACGGATGGGCTGCCCCCCTCTGCCATCTGCCTCCTCCCACCCAGGAGCACGGGTGATGGTCGCACACAACTGGGAGCATCATCCCAGTCCTCCTGCATGGTGACTCCCACCGAAGCGGGCAGCAGCCCTCGATCCCCCCCAGGTAGCAGCAACTGGGGGAGGCAAATACCAGCTGGGAACATCTGGGGGCTTTCAGTGAAGGAGTGTGGGGTGGTGGCGTGCGATGTGGCTGCAATGGGGATGCGGTGGGAGCGCAGCGCAGGCTGCAGGCAGCAGACCACAGGCAACGCTCGGCACATCCCAGGGATGCTGGGATGGAGTGATAGGACAAGGGGTGATGGCTTTACACTGAAAGGGGAGATTTCGATTAGATCTAAGGAAGAAATTCTTCCCTCTGAGGGTGGTGAGGCACTGGCACAGGTTGCCCAGAGAAGCTGTGGCTGCCCCATCCCCTGAAGTGTTCAAGGCCAGGTTGGGTGAGGCTTTGGGCAACCTGGTGTAGTGGAAGGTGTCCCTGCCCACAGCAGGGGGGTTGGAACTGGATGATCTTGAAGATCCTTTCCAACCCAAACCATTCTGTGATTCTGATTCTACACTAAAAAAGCCCAGCCTGGGCCACCTTTTCCCCAGGATTCAAGTCAGTGCCGGGGCTCCAGTGACTCTGTCCTCCAGCAGCTGTGAGTAAAGCCGCCGTCACTGCTCTGTGCCTCAGTTTCCCCCTCTCTAAAACACCACATTTCACACAGCTCCATGCAAATGACTGGCTGTCAGCAGATGGAAGATGCTGCAGAGGGCAAAGTAGTGTCTGGGTGTTACAGCCCGGCCGAAACACCCACCCCAGGGCTCAGCTCTGCCACCGAACCCCTCAGTGGGACCCAGTAACGTGCGGGAAGCAGGAGCCCCTGAGCCAAGAGCAGACCCCGGGGTCCTACTCTGCTGCCTTGCTTTATCATTAGGCCTTCTGCTAGAGATGGGAAATTAATTAGGAGCTTGTAATTAACGCTTCCATCTGCAAATGGGAGGAGCCAGCCTCGGTGCCGGCTGTGGGAGCAGTGCCATGTCTGTGCCAGGAGCTGCCTGTCCGGCTGGGTCAGTCC